AACAAGTATTCAGACTAGATATATTGAAACTACATGGGAAAAGTGTTTATAATTCTATCAAAAAATATGTATCCCTCTATATATATGCTTCAACGTTAGGCATTTGTTTAGAGTCCTATGCTTAACTACCAATCATAGTATTATACATGTGCACTTTTTAATTCATATATAGAAGAATATGTGGAAATATTTTGTAAGAAATAAAAATTACAGGTTAATTGATTGAAGATTTTCATACATGGAAAAAAAATCTGAGAATTTTTTCAAGTGGTCCAAATAAACTCTTCTACTGTAATAGGATGTAACAGTGAGGATAATTTTGGTAGAAATTGCACAAATAATTCACAAGGCCCAGTATTTGTCTCAGTTCAGTTACGTCAGAAAGGCTTTTCATTTTCTCAATAGCGAGAACTTTACTGGCATTTGGCTTAATGCCATCTCCGCTGATAATTTGACCAAAGTAGCACAGTTTCGTTTTCCCAAAGTGACATTTATCTTTTTTCAGCTCAAGTCCAGATGCTCTTACTATCTGCAGCACACAATGCAATCACTGATCATGCTCTTCTTGAGTGAACCCATATACTAGGATGAGTGCATGACTAGTAAAGTGCCTTCATGATCACTCAGGAGGGAACTCATCTTCCTTTGGAGGCAGAAGATATCCCAGAGGGGAGTCTGCAGAAACAAAATTGACTTACTATGTAATAAAGGTAGTCAACTTGCATCTCCCCAGGTCTAAATTCTGCTTCAACCTGTGGCAAAAGTTAGAATGGAATTCTACAAGCTGTAGTAATACTGTGTGGGATTGCATCAGTATTTGGAAGGGCTCACAATTCAACAGACCAAGATCTCCAAACATGTCCTATGTGACCACATCGATCTTGCAACAAGGCCCAGACTGCAGGCTGTGTTCAAGCTCAAAAGGTTATTAGTACATTGTCCTCTGATTACATACACTCAGAGTAATTTTATTTTGCTTGTACTTACTGCTTGCAAGAACTCACCCGATACAATCGATGCACCTTCCAGGGCTGTGAACCTTTATTGTAATGTTCTCAAGTTGTGGTCGTCGTGGCAGTTTCATGAATTTTGTAAAAGAAATAATCGTAATGTCTACTCCCATATCAATCTTAAAAGTAGTTCTTACACCCATCACTGTGAGCGTAACTTGCCAATCTTCATCAGAGCTCGACTGTTCAATCTCAGAACCTTCAAAGGACATCTCTTGTGTTTCTGTCCAGATGCATTTTCTTTACAGACTATGATTTGCAAACCACCTCAAAATTGTCAATTCAGTTGCACTTCCTGCACCTCTTGTCTTTAGCAGACCATAGTAGCTTTGTTCTGTGAATGCGGTTATATCACATGCAATGAGCCTGTTGCACCCAACTTCCTCTGAGTCTGTCTGCTGAATGTTGTCTGCTACTCACACTCTGTCTCTTGCAGCTCTCCTGGACTGCTACACTTCTTATATCATGCTTGCAGAGCTCATCTCTGCACTTTGCTTCTTCACCAGTTCATTCCAGCTTCATCTTCAGCAAGACTTCTGAGTCTGCAATTCCTATGACAATTCTGTCTCTGATCTGCTCCTTTTTGGCTGCACCATACTCGGCCAATTCATAAAGGCTGAGCACAAATTCTTCCACTTATTTGCCCACATGCTGAGCACCACTGTGAAAAAAAGGCCCTTCCATAAATTACATTCCTCCTGGGCACAAATTGGGCAATGAGCTTTTTCATATCTCCAAGTCAAATTCTTCCCTCTTTTTGAAGGCAAATGTATTGTAGACAGGTTCCAAATCTTTCCCCATAGAATATTAAAGAGAATAACTTGTACTTCCCCACTCTCCTTGTCCAGCTTGGATGCAATCCTGAAGCGTGCAAACTGCTGATGCCAGGTAGGCCATGCCACAAGCTGGGAAAAATCAAATGGCTCAGGTGGAGTAAACTTAGATATCATAACGGATAAACAAACAGATGTGCAGGTTAGAACTTCTGACAAAAATATTGAAAAGCATTGCACTTGGCCAAAGAAGTGACCATCATTGTGACCTAAATTAAAAATGCATACTAGAACAGGTTATATCAAATTATGTTACTTTTATAATACCCCAAAAATATATAAGCACATCTGTAACGGAACTCCCCGTACTCCGACCGAGTACCTTCCGTTGATGGACGCTACCTAACTTGCGCCGAGGACCACAAGCACCGTAATGGACACCACAACCACCGCAGACTCCACAACCGCCGTAGCTTAACTGGAGTCTCGCCGTCTTCTGTCCACCCTGGATCAGCTTCTGTCCTCCAGGACTGTGTGGGGAAGACCTCTCCTCCAGGAGAGCATAACAGGAACAGCTCTTAAAAGAGCTAAGTGATTAAAGCTCAAGGGAGTATCCCCAGTGTGATTATAGCAGTTCCCTCCAATAATGAGACGAGGCTACGTTTTGAAGGGTAAAGCAGAACTGTGTTTAATTAGCACCAAAGAGCCTTCTTTTATGGAGGTCTTACACATACAGGACCGCCCACAGGGTTTTTCAGAAGAACCAATAGAAACATTACAACATGTACAATAAAGTAAACCACTCCCAGCAGAAATCCTCACCTCTGCCTGTGATACAATTATCTCAAGACAATAGTCTAACTTAATTATCACAGGCAGAAAATATACAGTTTTTACACCATTCTTATAACTTTAAAAGTATGCATGCAATATTAATAAATAGTTACATATTTGAAATCAGCGTCCTTTAAATATCAATATACTAGAAAATCATAAAAATCCGTCCAGTAGCTCAAAAGTTAGCTGGGAGTCCTTTATGACCGACCGCAAGCACATTTTCATGCCCAAAACAGTTCCATGGATTTGGGTTGTGCGGTCGGTCTATTTTACACTGAAAAAATGACTAATTCCCATTCAAACGAGCATTCAAATCTTCGAGCCGGACTTAGTCTCCAGCCGCAGTGTCGAAGTGGAGAAGAAGGTCCAGGTCAGCGGTGTTCATGCAATTGGGTAGCCGAAAACAGTTCCATAGATTTAGCTGCACACACCGCTGACCACGTTCAAATGAGTTAAAATGGCCGCCGCCACGTGTTTGTTTGTCGAATGGCGGCCACTTCGACTACTTCGGCACTTCGGCTGTATCTGAAGTGCTAATTTAAAGTTGCAACACTGCTCCAAAGTAATTAAATGACCAGAAACAGCATTATAAAAATCGATTATGCCCAAATCAGTTCCTTAAAGGACAATACATCCCAGGGGCCATAGACACATGGCAGGAGGCTGGCAATCAGTCCTCTCCAATGCCCAGTGGCAAATGGCAGTTTGTCACAACATAATTTAACCTATTAACTGGAAGTCTCAAAAGCAGATAGATTTGATAATATATTTGTAATACTAAATGCAATAGTAATTATTTGTGTAACTAAACAGATATATAGGATATACCAGGAAACATAGGAAATCTCAGCATTCCTTTCTAGTATAAACACTTTATAAACAAATAAACAACAAACAAATACAGCCATAGCAATCACCATTAATGATACCACTGAGAAACATCGGGAGAGGCATATAAGATGTTAGTTTTTAGTTGATTTTTTATCTGATCCTCAGGAATAGGTAACACAAAACACATTAATTAATATGCTTATTTGGTTTTGACAAAACTACGACAGATTTATCAGACTTTGTATTCTTTGTAAGGGTCGACTGCACCTCTATATGATTAGAGTGAAAAGAATTATGAACTAGGATATGTCAATATCTTAATAGGAGGGTGAATAATGAAGTTGAGTGCTAAAAAAAAATCCTTTGACATGTTAGAAAATAAATATCAAGTAACCAAAGGGATTTTTAATTTTTAGCTATCAAAGCATTTTAAGTGCATTCTATAGGACAGTGATGGTGAACCTTTTTGAGCCCAAATAGTAATACATGCCAACTTTTTTTCCTCAAAGTGCCAACACAGCAATTAAACCTGAATACTGAGGTTGAAGTTTAGAAAAAAACAACTCGTACAGTTGTCCAAACTAATTAACAACAGAGAGTTCAATGATACAAATTTTAAATAATGATATAAATAGATAAACTTAAGCTTATATTTATTAGTATCTCCAACAAATGCAATACATACACACAGACTGCTGAATAAATACAGAGTCTTCTGAATACACACACACAAGACTGCTGAATACAGAGATACAGAGAGTGATGAATACACACACACACAGTCTGCTGAATACACATACAGACAGACTGCTGAGAACACACACACACAGACTGCTGAATACACACACACAGACTGCTGAATACATACACACACAGTCCGCTGAATACACACACACAGTCTGCTGAATACACACACTGCTGAGTACACACACACACACACAGACTGCTGAATACACACACACTGCTGAATACATGCACACACACACTACTGAATACACGCGCACACACACAGACTTCTGAATACATGCGCACACACACAGACTGCTAAATACACACACACACACAGACTGCTGAATACACACACACAGACTGCTGAATACACACACATACTGCATTGTGGGGTGCTGTGTGTGTGGGGTGCTGTGTGTGTGTGGGGTGCTGTGTGTGTGTGGGGTGCTGTGTGTGTGTGTGGGGGGGGAGGGTGCTGTGTGTCTGTTTGTGGGGTGCTGTGTGTGTGTGGGGGTGTGGTGTGTGCGTGTGGGGGGTGCTGTGTGTGTGTGGTGCTGTGTGTGTGGGGTGCTGTGTATGTGTGTGGGGGGGTGCTGTGTGTGAGGGGTGTTGTGTGTGAGGGGAGTGGTGCTGGGTGTGGGGGGTAGCGGTACTGTGTGTGTGGGGAGGAGGTATGGGGGTAAAGGTGTTTAAAAAACATATATATGTGCTAAAACCCCTCCCTCCTTCTTACCTTTAATGAAGGAGAGGGGACACACAACCATCCCTGGTGATCCGGTGGTGGTAAGTACTGCTTCTGTGTAGGGAGGCAGGGGGAGGGATATGTGAAGCAGCTCCCCTGTCTTCCCGCGCGATGCTGTGTGGAGCGTTGCCATGGTAACGCGTGTCAACGCTCCACACAGATTGCTCGCGGGAGGACAGGGGAGCTGCTTCACATATCCCTCCCCCTGCCGCCTGACACGGAAGCAGAGTAGGCGCCTGCCATTTTGGGCAGGCAGGTGCCTGCTCTGCATTGATGGTGAACCTATGGCCGCGTGCCCACAGAGAGGGCCCGGCGTGACACATGTTTCATATCAGTCTTATTTATTATAAAACAATTATACTATTGATTAATTTAATGCTTATGGATGCAATCAATTTACTGAGAAATGTATATTTAAAAAGAGATTTGCAGAGATCGAAATAGCCGGGATTTATACATTTTCAGATTTTGTAATCTATACTACAATTTTCAGTGTCCTTGTTATTATACAGTTCTCAGTTTAGTGAAAAACCTCTGAATATTTTATGAATGGCTTCTGAAAAAAAAAATAGTTATAGTCGCCAATTTGAAACCCATGCAAATATTTGGCCCTGTCACTTCTAAGCAGTTTATATACAGAGAGAATCTTAAAAAATACTTGTATTGGCTTTGTTGGAATTTCACTGAAGTTCCAACAATATTAAAAGAGAACATAAGACAAAGTTGGGAACTATTTTGTCTTATGGCAAAGTATGCTGTTAACAAAAAATGAGAGTATGACAGTGATGTGGTCTCCTGGTGGATGAAGCCCTAGAAACTAAAGATGCATGCTAGTAGAAAGATGGTGGGACCTGCAAGGGAGAGCTTCATCTGAGTATAATATCTCCATATCAGTTTTTCCCCAAGCCATTGCACACTTGTCAGGATTACTATATGATCCAGCATGTAGTATTGTGTCACACAGATGACTAATAGGTAACGTATTACCGGGCCTTAGAATGTCCAGACTAACGTACCAAAGGATAGTCAGGATACTAGCCGAGGTCAGGGGACACAGAAAGGGACACAAAAATAAAGGAAAGCCAGAGGCCAGGAATACAGGGAAGTCAAAATCAAAGCCAAAGGAAAAACCAGAAGAATCTTGAATCAGGAACACGCTTGCGGACAACCACTAGGGAAACCACGACAGGGCAATGAGGAAAGGTAATTTTAGGTTTTTATACCTGCTTTACCTTTCTGATTGGCCAGGATCGCTCTTTGACCCCAAAACGTTAGTGCGCTGGGCGTGCGTGACCTCACGTGCACGTCAACGTTGTTAATCATGTGAGTGGACGTGGGGGTATAACTAGCCATTGATCCGCAGTCCAAGATGCACGGCCGCTGACCGCAAGGTGAGAATGAATCAATATGTTATAACACTAAGTGGGCATGTCATCCTTTGCAAAATATGCATAGACTAAAACACATTAATAACATTGTAACAATAAGCACTCATAAACAATAAATTTTAATTTTTTTAAATGTATTTCTGCAATGTTATATTTACTTGGTTTCACACAAATCAGGTCTGTATTTTAGGATACCCTACTCTTATCCTTGACATGTCACGACGATCTGCTCAATTTAACTGACTTTGCGTTATTGGAGCTTGTTTATACATAGTGCTGCTCATTTAGCTATGCTACCTGTCATGTCAGACTTGCATGGGCTTCTGTGACACAATCTCCTAGGAGATTGAGTGGAACGCAAGTTTGGGGTAGATTCCAATACCTAATTTGACAGTATGGGAGTTCACACATCTCATGCAGTCCTCCTGGTTCTTAAACCCCCTCAAAAAAGTATTCTTGTTTGAGATAGTCACTATCAAACTAAAATGTGTCATGCTTGTCTAATCAAATGTTTCAGTGATATTTGGGAGTAGCATTCATTATACTTTTTACTTATTCTACCATTACCTATGAGAGTGGAAAAAGCATGACACCATGAGGATTTATGCAGTATACTGGTATTCATATCAATATTTAATGTGACTTTCCCTTGCGCTACCATAAAGACCTTAGCGTTCTGGAAGTCACCTGCAGATAGCAGTCAATTATATCTCTTGAGTATCTTCAAGGTTACCTGTGCCAGTGTCGGTATCTCATTTTTTCTATCTGGGTAGGGAGGAGGCTGACAAGATATCACCTTGCAGTGACCTCAGCTTAACATTTTTGGATAACATTTTGAAATGATCACAATCTGTTTGACAAATTGTTTTACAAAAATTTGACAAATTATTTATCTCCAAAAATTCCTATAGACCTTAAGGATGACTTGTAGAACATGTGAATGATTTTTCTAACAGATTGTGAGAATTTCAAAACCGTATCCAAAAATATTAATTCAAGGCCAACATTAAGAGTGAAATAATTGAATACTGTTTCTATACTCAATTGTCTCCATCATCTGATCCATTGCAAACAGCTCTCTGTGACAACATATTTATTCAAATAGGTTTTACACATTTTACAAATATATATTTGATTTTCTAAAAAGTGAATATCAGACCATTTCTTTACACAGAACATATGTTCAGGACATTAAAATAATCTTGTAACTCATCCCTATTTTTAATATTTTCTGTAATTTAGAAAATATATTGCAAAATGTTATGATCACAGTTTTCATCTTGTTTGCTATTGGGTCTATATTTATCAGTGTTATGTTGATAAAAAATTGTATATTTTGTTGAACTATAAAGATAGTAAATCATCTTTCACTAACAATTTTGTGCGTTCTGCTAGAAACTATAATTATTAATACTTATTAATGATAAGAATCAGTAATACCATATGGATGAGCTAGTAAGTTCCCTAGAACTTTACGATACAGCAAGCTAGCTAGATTTAAAGATGTAAGATTTGAACCTTTATATTTGAAATATCAGGGATTTTGAAGAATACATTTGGGGTTGGTGAGGGCATCAAGGTCATATTTTTCCAAGGACACTAAGAAAGCTGACAAATGTTTTTAGACTGATTCCTAAACCCTTTGTATATCCTACTGCTGCAGGATTGAATAAAAGTTGTATGTGTTTATTAAATAGTCCTATACATTGGCAACCTTTTCAAAAGCTGCCATTCACCCAAGCATCACCATTGATTCTAAAGATCCCAGCGGATGTCTTAAGACATTTACTCAATACTTCTACAGCTCAGCAATCTACACACTGGTTTCTAAATCAAACACCAGGCAAACCACTATATAGTAACTTAAAGTCAGCTGAGCCTAAACGTGTCAATATTATAAATTAGCTGATTGACAACAATGGCACACAATGAGTAGCGTGATGATCTGTGTAAAAACACCTCACAGTAATCTTTTAGGCTGGAAATGTTACAAATGTCATGTCTAAGGATGGCACTTTGCAAAATGCACAATATGCAAGTCTAATTTTAAAACCTTCAAGCTAACATAACAAATTAGATCATTTACTGACTTTAATTATTCAGTACCAAAGAAAGAGATACACACAAAATAAATTGATTGTAAAAAGTGAAACTCTATTTATATGCATCTCATATTTTCTTTTAATTTATTAACCATTGGAATAAGGATATGGACCAAAACTTGTAATAAAAGAGACAATGATAATTGTATCAAACATAGCACAAACGTGTGTAAAATAAAACAAAAAATGTATTTCACTTATGCCCTTTGGATAAATATTGATAAATAAGTAACCCCTACCTATATCATTTATACACAAAATGGTTTGGTTTGTCATTCCATTACAGTGAAATACTGAGTTTCTTTAATGTCCTGTAACCTTTCACGTTCATCCTATGCTGGTCCTCACCTGACTAAGATGTTGTTTTTTCTTCTACTGTTCTACTATTTTTTGAAAACTTGCTGCGGGTCTATACTGCTTGATTAAAATATATTGAAAATAAAACACAATGCATAGTAGAGTATCAAAGATGGATGGCATATAGACATTTCTCATACATTTTAACCACTTAGTAGGCTTTAGCTTTCTAGTTAAGCTTTTCTGAGCTTCCGTGTATTTGTGATTCCTTTTTGGTACTTTTGATATGAGTCTGTACTCTGTGAGTGACATCCATAGTAATCTCATAGCCTAGAAACCAATCTTATTTATTGTTGTATTGGCTCACTAGTGAAGCATTCATCATTATCTCAGGACAGGTAAATTCCAACATGTGCTGGGTAGAGTTTCTGCCTACAGCCCACCAGACTGGACTGAGGCGTTCATCTGGCAGACAGGGGCATCCTCAGACAACGTATTACTGTACAGGCTAATAAGTGAGGCACCAGCAATTATTTTTATTATTATTATTAATTTTAGCATTAATACAGTGCTAACTTATATTGCAGTGCTTTACAATAACAGTACATGCCAAACTTGACATTTACTGGAACTACGCTGCCATAAATACTTTTCTGTGAGAAATGTCATCTGATGGCTTTAGCATGATGCTTGGGACAGCAATTCCAGAACACCTTCCCTAGTGTAAATATCAGCACTAGTGACAAGACCCACATTTGATGGGCATTAAATTTGATCACCTTGGAGTGTGTTCCTTAATACCATTTTATAACATAAATGTACAGTAGTGTTCAAGAATTAGAGGTCACTTAGAAAGCTCCCTTTATTGAAAAAAAATGACATCAAATTGTTTAGAAATACAGTGCAGACATTGTTTATGTAGTTGGAAACGGCTATTATTTAATATGATACATACGTGGGTGTTACAGAGGCAATTATGTTAGCAAAGCTGAAAACTGTTGTGCTGATTAAAGAGGCAATAAAACTAAAACATCAGCAACTATGGGTTCAGTTACAGGCTCAAGATGGCCAGAACCTCAGAACAATGGACTTGCTTTCGAAACTTATCAGTCTATTCTGAAACAATGAAGATATTGTACAACTCTCTGCTACTTCTTTCACAATAATGTGTAAGCTGGCTCTAATCAGAATAGAAAGAGCAGTGGGAGACCCTGGTACACAACTGAGCAAGAGGACAAATACATTAGAGAGTCTAGTATAAGAACCGTACACCTCATGGCTCCTCATCTGACAGCTTCATTAAATATTACTCAGAAAACACCAGTCTTAACATCAACAGTTAAGAGGCGACTGAGATTTCGGCCTTCTAGGGGAAATCCATATTTCAGACAGGCCAATAAAAAGAAAAGA